GCACAGGGGTGATCTGGTGATGGGAAACCCGCGGGGATTACAATCGAGATGGAAAAAAAAATGTGCAAAATGATGTAAAAATAAACTGTAATAAAAAAAAAATCTTAGCAGCTCAAATAAAAAATTATCCAATAAAAAACAAAATTTAAACATGGCATAGGCTAAAATTCTACCAGTGAATTACTATCAATTATTAATTCTTGACTCACAAGTGTTAAACATGGAAGTGATTTTAGATATAGGATAATAGACGAGAAAAGAGAGGCACAGAAGAGTTAAGTCATACCCACAGTCCAGGAATGCTTCATGGAAAAGTAAGAACTAGAATCCAGAACTCCTCTTCACAGTAAATAATACACTGCTTCTGACCTCTCCTGTCTCGCCCGCTGCTCCCCTTAACAGTATATTTCAGTAGATCGGCCTGTTCTGTTTCCTACTCTGTCTCTGGTGTATCTTCTCACCATTCACATCTCTGGCCTAAACCCCAGCTCTTTTATGCGTAAATAAATTAATCTTAAAAATAAATAAATAATATCTGGCAACTCACTTAAATGACAGTGGTTGTTCTGATCAAAAAATTTTATCATATCCATATCCAAATGTTATCAACAACCAGCCTCAATGTAAAAAACCTAAACACAAACACTATTTTTTATTAGATTTAGAAAGTATTTAACCTGAAAGTCTATAGGTACAGAATTTTCTCAGTTGACAAATTTTTTGTAAAACATAGCAAGTATATAAGGTATATTTACGTTATTTTTCCCACTAGTTTTTGAACTTTATAACACATTTAGCATTTCAGTCCCACGCTACCTTAAATATGGTTCAGGAGGGTAAACTTCTAATGAGTTCCATCATGGTCTTAAAGACTGTAAGCCCCTTAGATTACTCATTTAATATCCTGAGTGCCTAAATCAGCTGGAGTAGTGTTATATCATATTAACTTTATCTCAAATGTTCTGGAGAGACAGAGAGATGGGGATTAAGATGAGTGGGGGGTGGAGGGGATTGTGTAGGCAATTCTAGAGAGCATTCCAAATAGTAGGTGCATACTCTAGGGTGCAAGGATGAAGTAAGAGGTGAATTTACTATTCCCTAGTCAGTCTTGGTTCTCTTGTCCAAACTGAGTGTGATTCTAATGTTAAAGGTTACGTTTATTTTATACAACTTGATTCCTATCAGCCTAAGTCAATTACTTCATCTTATGACCAGCTGGTGGGAGAAAAACTTCCAGAGGTGAACTGCAAAAATGCTTTGCTTACATACTGTCTTTTATGTGTGACATGCATTCCAAGGGTTGCTTTGAAGATATTATTTTATATTCTGCTGACTTTAGAAACAAACTTCTGATGTATATACTGGGATTTCATTACAATTAAACTTTTTATAAGTGGTATTGTTCAGTGAACAGAAATACAGTATAGGCTTCTCTGGTGGCCTGAGGTTAAATTTCAGTGCTATTACCATTATGTCCTAAGTTCTATCCCTGGCCAGGAGACAAACTCACATATGGTAAAGCAGACCTCTCCTGTCTCACCCACTGCTCCCCACAGCTGTGTATGTCAGTAAATCCACTTGTTCTCCCCCCACTCTGTCTCCGGTAAATCCTTTCTCTCTCTGCACATCTGGCCTACATCCCATTCTTTATACATTAAAAAAAATAAACAAACCAGAAATACAGTGTATTAGTATATTGGGCAATATTTTACTTTTTCAAAGTAATGAAGGTTAAAAATACAAGCTGAATGTAATTCTGAAACAAATACTTTGGAATTAAAGAAAAACGGTTTCTAGGTCTTTGTTTTGCTTTGCATTTTTCTTTAAAAAAAAAAAACTCACATTTACATGAACTTTTGCATTTTTAAGATATCTTACCTTTCAAAAGTTCTAGTTTTATATTTCTGAGTTTTAGTACTTCATCTGTAATCTTCTGTATCAGGAAGTTCTGTGTTTTTTCTCGCCGAATAGATTCAACCAGGGTATCTAGTCCTTTGGGGTTTTCTTGTAAGTAGTCTAACAATTTTCCAGCCCTTTTTCGACTTGATGTTCGGCAAGAAATTTCTTCAGTGTCTTCTCTACTTAAAATTTTTTTTGCACGTAAATGATCAAAATGTCTCTCAGCTATGATTTTTTCACACAGGTAGACACGCAAATTTTCTAAGGCCTAAAAGACATAAAATAAGTTTAATGTTATTTTTTAAGTACCTAAGGAAATCACCTGGGCAGTTGATTATAGAAATCCTTTTTAAAATGAGATTTATTTTTATCTAGTTATGCACACAAGACTTGACAAAGTCTAGGCCAGAGGTTGGGGCGTGGGGATGAGAGGATTCACCAGAGACAGAATGGAGAATAGAACGTGGAGTAGAAAGCGATTCAGTGTACTGAAATATACTGCTGTGGGTAACAGTGGGAAAGACAGGAGAGGTGGGTTGTATCATGTGGGTTAGCTCCCCAACTGGGGTTTGAACTCATGCAGCAGTGGCTGGAAATAACTTGATAGTGCTGAGACTTAACCACTGCTCCAGCAAGAAGGCCCAATTGTTGGAAATCTTAATGATGTGAGGAAGTGCCCTGAAGTTTGGAGACCCAGACCTTCTAAAAGGCATGCTGATTAAAATGAGGGTCCAACTATACAGAGGTCATTCCTTACAGCTTTTCTTGTTCTGATCTCATCTTCATTATCTATAAATTAAGACCACACTATTGTGAGGAAGAGCCAGTTGAATCTAGAGGGTGTGGGCCTGTGAGCACGGGGAGGTGTGCTGAGGGCGACCTGCAGGGGTAAGGATGAGAAGACAGGCAACCGCACATTTTATCACCATTCATTAAGGACAGTAAGGACAGAACAGAACAGTAAGGAACAGAACAGAACAGAACAGTAAGGAACAGAACAGTAAGGAACAGAAAGGATAACCTAATTTATAATTAGTGTGAGCCCGAGACCAAAAGGATAACTTAATTTATAATTAGTGTGAGCCCGAGACATGAAGGTGAGCAGTGGGTTTCAAAATGGTGAGAACAGGAAAGCTGGAATGCAGGGTGCAAATGAGAAGGTGGTAAGGAATAAAGCTGGCAATGCAAACTGGGGCTGGAGCATAGAAGAAGTTTTATAACATACTGAGGAATACACATTTCTCAGTAGCAAAACAAGACATCAGAAGTTTATAAATAAGAAGCAATATGAAAACGTTTGCAAATATAGGGTTCAAAGGCCAGTTAGGAAATTACTTCTATATCTTAACTAGACTTGCTGAGTGTATGTATTTAAGCTGTGGGAATGGAGAGAGGGAAGACTAGATTTAAAAGATGAACTTGAAAAAGTTTGTCTGTTGTCATTTCTACCACCTGTATGTTGATGATTCCTGAGCTGGCTTACAGATGCTTATGTGATGATCCAGACATCCCTGAAGTACTTCAAAGTCAAACTGTCCAATACACCAACTTGTTATCTTTCCCTCTGATATTTGAGCTCATTCAGAGTACTATTATCCTTTCAACCATACTATAAATCTACAACTCATCCCTACCTTTTCATTTCATTCACTGGCCACATCTGATCACCCAAGTCCTGCCAATCTCCATCCTACTTATCTAATCTGCCATTTCATGACATCTCTGTTATCAGCACCGCCCTATTTCAGGGTCCTCGATACCTTGCATGAACTGTTAACAAGATATGTTGGTATATACTTCCTTGTCTGTGCTCCTTCATGCATCAACTAGATCTTCCAATTTTTCAAGAGAAAACTGAAAGTTATACAAATTCTACTAATATTGAAATGTCATCAGTTAAATTTCATAAAAATTTGAAACACTGTTTTCTAATCCAGATGTAAAGACTGTCTCTAAATCTTGGCAGAATTAATGGGCTCAGACCAACCACAGTTCAAATCTTGACTCACAAGCTAACTACATATTTCTATAAGAGTTGGGTCTAGCTACTTTACCTCTCTACGCTTTAGGTTCTTTCTCTTTCTTTACACTTAACGTAGTTTTAAATTATATATTTGTTTTAACTCTAAGGACCTATGTTTTTGAAGCTGGCACTGCATACGCTGCCAAGGGTGCCAAGTAGATAATGTTTTGGGTGAATGTAAAGTTCATTGAACTTATTCTGTATCAGTTTAGTCTGCCTCCCTCTTCCCCCAAGAACTCAAGCTCTTTTTTTTTTTTTTAAAGATTTATTTATTTGTGCATACAAAACTGGGGTACAGGCCAGAGGCTCAGGGGTGGCGAGAGGTTTCACCAGAGACAGAGCGGGGAACAGAACAGGCAGATCACAGAAGTACACTGCTGAGGGGAGCAGCGGGCGGGTCAGGAGAGGTCTGCCACACCATGTGGTCACCTCTGGGGCAGGCGGGAATCGAACTCATGCAGAAGCGGCTTTAGATTCAAAGTGCTAAGATTTAACCCGCTGCGCCACCAGGGAGGGCCAGAACTCAAGCTCTTTTTAAACTAGAATTGTCTTACTTTAAAATATCTGAACTGTGTCAGACTTTATCTACTATAGTATCAGCCTCATTGTAGCTTATAATCCAAATTGATAAAATATCAACTCAACAATTCAACCAAAAAGATGAGGAAGAAGTGAATAAGAGGAAGGCAGTGAGGGAGACACAGTTTTCAGGAGGATGGTTGGTAGTATATTACACTTCAAAGCAAGAGAATGTAGTTGGAATAGCAAACACTTTGGTGGAGGGATAATTAAAAAAAAAATCTACTTTTGGGAAGGAGAGAAATGTGCAGGATTTATGAAAGTGAATTTCAGCAAAAGAAGTCCAGACTTATAAAGATCATAAACCATTTTGAAAATACCATTAAAAACAATTTTCTTTTTTAAAGATTAATTTATTTATGATACAGAACTGGGGAGCACCAGAGGTATACCAGAGACAGAGTGGGGAGCAGAAAAATCAGAATGATGAAGTACACTGCTGAGGGGAGCAGCGGGCAGGTCAGGAGAGGTCTGCTGCACCATGTGGGTCAGCTCCGGGGCTGGGGATCAAATCTGCGCACTGAAGCAGATGCAGCTAGCTTGTAGTGTGGTGCTTAAACCTGTTGCACCACAAGGGAAGGCCCTAAATACTATTTTTCTAAGAAAAAAAAGTAACATACTACTTTTTCTCAGACCTCTTGAAACCCATGCAGGGTATGCAGTGTTGATTCTTGCCTGCTTCAAAAACACAAGGCCTTAAAGTTAAAATCAATGTCTAATTAAAAATTACAGTAAGTGTAAGGAAAGAGAAAGAATATAAAGTATAGAGAGGTTAACTAACTGGCCCCAGTTCTTATAGACCTCTTGAAACCCTAAGGCTATGAATTTCTGCTACAGCTGAGAACTGAACTTTATAGAGATGGATAATATCAGTGCTAGATATTATAAAGGCCTGGAAGTCATGCTTTGCATCTGCTTGCATAACCATATAGGGCTTCTGTTGTAGTTTTTTACAGTATAGCAACTGTAAAATGGGAATGACATTTATATGCTTTAGGAATTGTAAAGATTAACCAGGTTTATGAAGTTGCATGGGGCACACCTATAACTTCACAGGCCTACCTCTTGAAGTTCTTAGTTTTACTGGCACAAATCTTGACTAAAACAACATTCATTTGTCCTATAGTAGTTATAGGTGTCCTGGTGTTATCTCAAGTAGAATATAAAGCAGGGGTCTAAATAATCTTTTTTTTTTGGTATCTTCACAGGCCCCGTAATAGTACTTTGCACACAGTACTTCATAAACATCTGCAGAATGAGGAAAACTAAGGCACAGTTCTATAGTCAAATCTAGTATCTTCCTGCTAGTGAGTCATTCAACTGTAATTACCAGTTCAATGTAATAAATATTTCAGGGGAGGGGTAATGAAGGTACTTGAATTATATAAATCAAAAAACTTGCTGTCCTGGCTAGTTCTCATTGGATAGGTACTGCAGTGTTAAACCATAATCCACTTTATGTTGAGTTTGTTTAATATTAAGTCCTTTAGTGGTACTCATATAGGTCTTATATGGCCCAAAAAAGTTAAAAGCAAAGGAAAAAGAGAAACAAATATTACTTCCACAAAGTCATTCTTTACAAACTATTAAGATGTGTGAGTTCTTTACTATCCAAACGGAAGAGCAGCATTTGGCTACTGAGTATTTTCAACGTGTACCTGTAATTACTTCTCTGCTGCAAATACTCATCCCCCCACCCCAATTTAAATATGTGGGCGTTTGCTTAGTAGGGGAATTCCAGACCGTGCTTTCAGCTGTAGAGCTTCCCCCAACCCCCTTTGCAAGTTTCATATATTGCTCCATTGCTTGGGATCCTTTTATCTGCCCCAGACAGCACCCTAGGCAATTTGACTTAAGGATGAACCAGAGTCTTGGGTCCCTAACAACGCAGTTACAAAGGTTGGGGAGGTTGGGGTGGCGGGGAGGATCAACAGGAGACCTGTGTGAAAGTGGGCAAGGAGCTGACCGTGAAGCAACAGTCCACTGATAAGGTTTCAGAAGCTCATACATTTAGTGATTTAAAACGTGGATTCACCGGCCTCTCCGGAGTTCAGTTCCATCAAGGTCTTTCGGGTGCAGGGCTCGTCGGGGTCCTGCGCAGCCTGGACCGTCAGCTTCACCGAACCGCAGGCTCCTCCTCCGCATCGGACCCGGACTGCGGTTTCCGCTTTCCTCGCCCGCGAGGTGGCCGCCCGCTCCCGCCCGCCCCTGACCCTCGGCGGAACAGGGGCAAGGTTGTGCTACTCACGTCCTTCTTCACTTCAGTCAGGTCCTCCTCGGTTAGGGACGGCGCGGTGGGCTCCATGGCGGAGGCGGGAGAAGGCTTCTTCCGGGTCCGGCGCTCTGGCTGCCCCGCCCCGCCCCGCCCGAGCTGGGGGCTCCGGCCGCGGGGTGAGGGGCTGAGAAAGACGGAGGCGGAGCGGCCGGGAGGAAGGGGACGGTCCCTCCGAAAACGGAGGGTCTCGGTGGTCCGTCCGTGACACTTCCGGCTCCGCCTCTGGGACAGAAGGCACAGTGGGTCGACGCGACCCGCGCGAAGCTCCGAGCCCCGCTCCGATCCTCTCCTCCGGTAGCCCCGGCGAGGCGGGGCTTCTGGCAGAGCCCACCCCTCCCCTGCAGCAACCAATCGGCGCCAGCTCGCGGCAAAGCCCGTCCCCGCCCCCCCGCCTCGAACCATTCAGGAGTGGCTCCGCCCAGAGACTCGGCGGGTCGTTTGCATGCGCAGTGGATGGGTGGGGCCCGTCGCGGCTCAGCCCCGCCTTCCTCCGCAGACTGCTACAGGTGGAGTCGGATCTTGGCGTCTCTGTGCCTTTGAGTCCCTCCCATTTTCCCAAACCCTACCCTACAGTTTCCTGTTGCTGTGTTGGCCCAGTCAAGTTTCTTTTAACTATTTGATCACACACGAGTATGCATAAATGTGTGCACTGATACGATTAAAGATATTTTTGAAAGGGAAAAAGAAACTATACAATTTGAACGCTTTAACAACACAATTTGGCGTTTGCTTACACTTTGATTACTATTATGAAGATGTCCTTAGTTAATCATCAATGCAATGAAGATATATCTGTTTCAAAGGGGTGTTGTGAGAATCAAGTGACCTGATTAAGGGATTCTGCTTGGCACACAGTATGACTTATCATCTTGTATTATACATTTACCGGATCCTTTCTGATAAAATCTAGGCATCTTGCCAGAGTCCTCCTATTTGATTGGGAAGGAGGGTGTTGTTGAACAGCTATTTCCAGAATGGTATTGCAGCTACTGATAGAGGTATATATAAAACAAAATTAAAGAAAAAGGAAACAAAACTGAGTCGTGTGGGTGAGCACCTCAAAACAGGGCCCTGGACTCAGGATTCCTATTTTTCTGAACAACATGATAAAAAACTAGATCTCCACTGGACAGCATTTGAAGATAGTATTGAATAGATAGACAAGAGGACCGAAGATAAATTTGGTAACTCCAAAATCCAAGGGAAGGGAAATCAGAAAAGAATAATGGTGCCAAAGAGACACCAATACAGTTAGATCACAACACTAGGATACTGTTTGTAACATTAACATGTCAAGTATGTCTTTTTCCGCATTGATATACAGTACAACTTTTCTGACTGCTTAATCTTCTCTCATCTGGGTATAACCCAATTACTTATGCATGAGTTCTTTCATTTTACAAGTATTTATCGTATGTCAGCTATGTGCCAGCACTGCTCTAGGTGCTAGAGAAATACCTAGGCAGGTAAAAATCCCTTTCCTCCTGGAATTTAAATTCTAAGTTATATATATTTGGGGCAGGTCAGAGGACATTTGAGAAGTATTATTGAACTATTGTTAGAAGTTAAGTATTAAGAAAGGCTATTAAACAGGAACTAAGGAAGAAACTATATACAGTGGTAATATAGAAAATAAGGGTGATTAATGAAGATCTTGCTGCAGGGGAGGGAAATAACATTTGAAGGAAGTGAGGAAGAAGCCCAGTGTACATATGGAGGAAGAATGTTATGAGATGAGGACAGCCATGAAAAGGATCCACGCCAGGGAAGGTAATATGGTCCTTGTGTGCCACTGTACAACTTTGCCCTGACTTTGCTCTGAGTCATGTGGGCTTACTCTGAGTCAGATGGGAAGCCACTGAAGGGTTCTAAGCAGTGAGTTCCTTGATCCGATTTACAAGTTGGAAAGGAGCACTTTCACTGTTGCACAGAGGGGAGGAAGTAGAAGAGGTGAGAGCAAGCTGGGACCTATTGCCATAATCTAGGGCCCAGGAGGTGGTAGCTCAGAACAGGCTTGGTAGCAGCTCAGGTGGTGAGAACATTTTTTTTTTAAAGATTTATTTATTTATTTATGCATACAGAACTGGGGTATAGGCGCGGTGAGAGGATTCACCGCGTGAGTGGGAGCAGAGTGGGGAGCAGAACAGGTCGACTGATGAAGTACACTGCTGAGGGGAGCAGCAGGCAGATCAGGAGAGGTCTGCTCTGCCATGTGGATCACCTCATGGGCAGGGATCGAACTCATGCGGAAGTGGCTTTAGCTTCTTAGTGCTGTGCTTTAACCTGGGAGTGCCCAGGTGGTGAGAACATTTTAAAGGGAAGCGGAGAAGCGGTGTTATTTCCTCTTGAAAGGATCACTCAGGCTGCTGAGTAGACAGTAGGAGGTAGGTGAGAAGGAGGAAAAAGAGTGACCAGTGGAGGTTACCACAGGGATGCAGGCAAAGATGAGGACGGTGACCAGAGTTACCTGAAAGTATTCCAGTTTTTCACTGTACAAAAAATTACATCTCAAGTTTTCAGCTACAGACTCCTTTATTCTTTTATATAATCATTTTCATATAAATTCCCAGGAACAGGATTACATACCCAAAGAAATACATGTTTTCTGTCTTCATGTATATATTTTCACAGGTTCTCTCTGAAGTATTGTTCCACCCGTGTGTGGGAGTGAATCCCACAAGCTTCCTAGCTCTGCTGATGAGGAAGGGGCTTTAGCAGTGAGCCAATACCACACACCAGTGCAAATACTGCATGTATAAGGTTGGCATTCTACCACTATTCTCTTTTAAATAACATATTTCAAGCACACCAAACAACAAAGAACAGTATTACAAGCACCCTATGTTTATTACCAAGATTTAACATTTTCACTTCTGTTTTGGCTTTTGATCACCAAATGTCAAACTTCTCTGATGCCTCCATCTGACTCTCTTACCTCATTCATTTACCTAAGTAAATAGTGAAGTGTATTCTCTGTGTCAATATCAAAGGTTGGGTGGGGTTGAGGGAGGAGTTTAGGAATTTTTTAAAACCGAAAAGTTAATAGTTTTTGAGACCATATCTCAGTGTTCCCAAGACACATAAACTGTGTCAGAGCAGTCGCGTCTGAATCGTGTCTGGGCGGTGCTTTCTCCAAAGATTTTAGGGAAGAATCTTTCCTGGTTTCATTCTCTGTGGTTGCTGGCAATTCTTGGCATTCCTTGTGGGGCAGTGTAACTTCAACCTCTGGGGCCTTTTTTGTTTCCCTCGTATGTCTCTTTCTTCAAATTCCCTTCTTATTGGGAGAAGGAGAATTGAATTTAAGACCCATTCTAAGCCATAGGACCTTATCTGGACTATGTCTATAAATATACTATGTGCAAATGTCACATTCCAAGATCACAGTGGACATAAATTTGGGGAAGACAGTGTTCAAATTATTGTAGCTGGATTCTAGATTTGTCAATTATTAATGGATGGCCTGGGGGGATTAATAAGTCTTTGTTAAAGTTAGCTGTCATAGGAATGCAGAGGATGGAACCATTTTTTTGACTGAGAAGTCAAGATGAAAGAGATGAATTTCAACTAGGCAGGAGAATTTTTGTACTTGATCTTAGCCAAAAGGTCGAGAAGCAATGGGCAGGAGAGTTTTTTTTTTTTCTTCTATTGCTTATATATGTATGTATGTATACATATATATTAATATAATGTTTTGTTTTTACATCATTTTGTGCATTTTTTCATCTCAGTTGTAATCCCCATGGGCTTCCCATCACCAAATCACCCTGTGCCATCACCACAGTCCAATGCATTTCCCTCCCCCCCACTGTTTTTGATCCCATTCCCCACTCCACCCCCATAAGATGTCTCTGGTATATATAGCTGGTCATTATTATTATTTTCTTGCCTGGTCTGTTATACTCCTGCTATGAGAGAAACCATCCGTATTTTTCCTTTTCTTTCTGGCTTATTTCACTAAGCATGATCCTCTCCAGCTCCATCCATACTGCTGCAAAAGACATGTGTTTTATATTTTTTGGTTGCTGAGTAATATTCCATTGTGTATATATACCACATCTTTTTAATCCAGTTATACACTTTTGGGCATTTAGGTTACTTCCATGTCTGTCCAAATGTGAATAAAGCAGCAATAAACATGGAGGTGCAGGTATCTTTTTCAATCAGTGTTTTTGTGTCTTTTGGATAGATACCTAGGAGTGGGATTGCTGGGTCGTAGGGAAGCTCCATGTTTAGCAGTTTGAGAAAACTCCAAACAGTTTTCCATAGTGGTTGCACTAGTTTGCATTCCCACCAGCAGTTCAGGAATGTTCCTTTTTCTCCACATCCTCTCCGACATTTGTTTTTGCTAGTTGTCTTAAGATGTGCCATTCTCACTGGGGGTGAGGTGGTATCTCATTGTGGTTTTAATTTGCATCTCCCTTATTACGAGTGATGTCGAACATTTTTTCATGTGCTTGTTGGCCATCTGCATTTTCTCTTTGGAGAAGTGTCTTTTTAGCTCTGGGCAGGAGAGTTTTTAATAGATGGAGCTTCAGCTTCTGTTTAATGACTTATCCCAAAACTTCCTTAGAATACAAGGTCAAACAGTGAATACTACTCCACATGATTGTGAATTATAAATTCCCTGCAACTAGCTGAAGGAAAAAAATGGCCAGTTGTGAGAAAGACACCCCTGGATTTTACAGATAAGGCGAGATGTGGTAGAATTTAGACATTCTGCTTAAGGAATGTGTGAAGACTCTAGGTTGTCCTGCCCCGAGGACTGACCCTCAGTTTAGGAAGGAAGGACTAGCGAGGTGTGTTGGGCAATGTGGACTTAGAAGGGCAGCAAGTGTGAACCTGAGAAAACGCACCAACATTTATAAATGCACAAATAGATATTATTGGGGCTGATGAGGGAATCTGAGAGAAGGGTTATTCCCTCTACACTCCCCCTAGATGCCTGGTTGGTTTGGAGAGTAAGGGAAGGCATTTGGGATTAGAGGACAGCATATTTATGGAGCAAAGTGCTTTACATGTAAATGAGGGAAGGCAAGGCGCCCCCTATTGGGACATTTTAGGAGGAGCAGGATCTAATAGTTATAGACCTGCCTGGGAAGAAATAAGCACTAGTGAGCGATTTCACTCCCACCTGGAGCAACATACAGATGGTGTTTCAATTGAATCCCTGTATAACAGTACTTCTAGATTGGCTCTTTTATCCTCATTTTACACATGAACAATCTGAAACTGAGAACTGTCCAAGGTCACTCCTTGGTCATCAGGTTTCCAACTCTG